TAAACATGATGGACTCATGTGCCAAAACCATAGTGCAAATGCTATTTGCCTCCTCCTTAGGCAAACAAATAAAATGGAATAACATGTTAAGTGCAAATATGGGCAAGAGGTGTGGTATCCATGGTATTGCAACCCTGCTGTTTGAGACTGCACTCAATGCAGGACAGCCATATGCTACCAGTCTGTGTATCTATTTCTAGATCAAAATGAAGTCTTGAGATCTCTCTCATCCAATCTGTTCACTGATTATGGTAGCTGACTCATGTCCCTCCGGAGATGAAGGTGCCACGTTGAGGAGTGTGCCATTTCCACACTCCATCATAAGCCCACCTGACAGATAAAGTTGTTCAATGCTGGATGCTCATGGAGACATCACCTTAGGTCTCAGGGTCTGAATGTCAGATTTGTAGTTCCATCTTAATTGTCATTTCCAAAGGCCCAAAGTAAAATACATTTCCTAGAGGCCTTGACTTGAGAAATTTCCAGATGGAAAAAATCAGTAAATTCATTTTCCTGCCTTGAGTCTTTTTCCTGTTCTCTTCTTTAAGAAAAGATGGGGAATATAAATAAATGTAAAAAATGGTAGCTTTCTCAGGATCACGTACAAATTGAAAACATTTCCATTATGGCTAAATCTCAAACTACACCCACATGGCCTTAGGGAATTCTATTTATACAACTGAATGCCTTCATTAAATGTGAACATTTGAATTCTGATCAGATGGTTGCATTTCCATAAACATTCTCTATCTATCATCTATCATCCATCTATCTATCTATCTATCTATCTATCTATCTATCTATCTATCTATCTGTCTGTCTGTCTATACATTGCATGTCACAATAGCAATTTAAGCTCAGTTAAAACTTTAAAGTAGGGACATCTGCATTCAAGGAAGTCCTTAATTAAGGTAATAAAATATTGTTTTTCAAAACGCAAAGTTAATTTATTATTTTAATGATTATTCTTTTCTTGAAACATATGATAGACATTATTTTCAGTTACATGTATTTCCTAACTTTGCATTAATATGAAATTATACACATTGTAGACAAACCAGAATATCTCTACATACATAGCATTAAATTAGATAGGTGATGAGAAAGTACACACTATACTTTATGTGTGACCCTATACCTATCTTTTAGAAAGACCATATGGTTTCATCAACATTCTCAGTTATATCAAAGGAGACAGTTTTTATAGTGGTTAAAAACAAGGGCTTTGGGCCAGGTACAGTAGCTCATGCCTGTAATCCCTGCACTTTGGGAGGCCAAGATGGGTGGATCACCTGAGGTCAGGAGTTTGAGACCAGCCTGGCCAACATGGTGAAACCCCGTCTTTTCTAAAAATACAAAAATTAGCCAGGCATGGTGGCACGTGCCTTTAATACCAGCTACTTGGGGGACTGAGGCAAGAGGATCGCTTGAACCCAGGAGGCAGAGGCTGCAGTGAGCCGAGATCATGCCACTGCACTTTGACCTGAGCAACCAGAGTGAAACTCCATCTCAAAAACAAAAACAAAAACAAAAATTAAAAACAAGGGCTTTGAATTAGGATATTATTTTATCACTAGCAGTGTGAACTTGCCTATTGTCTCTGTTTTCTTTAGGATATTTCCATGAAGATATGAAAAGGTCAATTAATATCTCAAATTAGATGTGAATCATAGTCCAAAGAGGTAAAAGTCACCGTTTGCTGCAGTCTTAGAAAGGCAGAAAAACACAGAACTAATTGTTCTCTCCAGCCTTCCTCTCCCCACTGAAAATCCCTAATAAAACTTGATTATTTCCTGACTTTGTTATTTTCTTTCCACATCTGTGACCTTGGAGTCATCTCTGACTCCTTTTTCCTTTGGCTTCCACATTCTATTGCTAAAACTTTTTGGTCAGCCAAATGTTTTGCCTTATTAAGAAGTAAGAGGTTAATCTATTTCTTACAACTTCACTGGCTATACCAAACACCAGTTCGGTTCTGGAAACATCTCAAAAGCAGGTACTTTGACCTTTTAAATGATTTCAAATTCTTCACAGATCTCAAGAGTTTATTCATTAGAGTAGATGGTCAGTAGGCTCAATTGATAGTTGCAAGTGATGGTCATTTATAACTGTAGGTTGGTGTATGCTTATTGTATACTGCAGAGGTTCACTGACTTTGAAATTTAGAAAAAACAAATATTTAACAAAACACATCAATACTATTCATTTTCTTTGCCATTTTGTTGCTGTTTGAGTTAAAGCTCTGTGGACATTTGGGGGTTAGAAAATAACTCTAAAAGCCACAAAGAGGTCACTAATATTGACAGCTCTGAATCCCTCTGAAAAATAAGCACCTGCTCTTCTTATTTACTGTAATAACAAATGCTTGGTCTTTGTACAGGTCAAACAGGTTTTTTAGATTTTGCAAAAGGTAATTATCTGACGTTAAGACTATAGCTGTCTTTAGACCTTGGTAATAAGATCTTAATCAAATATTGGGGGCTTCTGATATTATGAGAATACCTTGGCTAAATATTAATGTAGAAAGTTTAGGCCGTGGGAAAGCCTTACTGTAGTACACTTTTATACATTACAGCCATGTTTTCACTTGCAGTGAGCATGAGAAACAAGCTGAAGATGACACCTGGATTGCTACTATTTTACATGCTTAATTATGGCTTGCTGTACAATTATGTCTTGGTTTGCTACTGGGGTGAAAAGCTGGTTAAGCCTATAAAAAATTTAGTAAAACAGAAAGCAAAGGATGTACCTCAGCTGTTTATGTGTTTGCCGCTCATATTAGATTGTGAGCAGGAATTCTTGTTAGAAGGAATTACCTTTCTCATATGGTATTCTTAGTGCCTACTCTGATATTTGGCCCATAATGGGTGCTAACAAATGAATGCATGGGTGCATGGTGCTTATAACACCCTAAAACACATATGCTTTTTGGCTCTACAAGAAATATATATTATTATCTACTGCCCAAATGAAGCAACTCTGGTAAAAATTCTAGAGCTGCATTGTCTGACATGGTAAACACTAAACACGTAGTTATTTACATGCAAATTAAAATTAATTAAAATGAAATAAAATTAAAAATTCAGTTTCTCAGTTGCATAGCAATGTGTTAAGTGCTCAAAAGCCAAATAAGGTTAGCGGCTATCATAACAAACAGTGCATTGTATTCAGATTCAAAAAACCCCACCATGACAGTATATACATTCCAATATACCTAGGTGATTTTTCCTCCTGGTACCTTAAGGAGTCCCTAGGAGGAACCTATCCACTAAACATTTCTTCATCGACCTGTAGGTTTGCAATAGTCTTATAATTCTTCATGGCTCTTCAGGCACTTTTTAATAAATTCAAAACTCTCTGGAGATAAAATGTACTAAACAAGTGGTTGTCACACTTGTGAGTCCTGAATATTCAGATTCTCAGGTGCTACCCAAAAGATCCTGATCCAATAGGTCTGAGGTGTCTTAATGAAGCTACATTTTTAGCAACCTCCCTAGGTGATCTTGATGCAGAGGGCCCAAGGGCAACATAATGAAAAATTGAGCCTATGGATTACAAAAAATTATATTGTTGCATCACTTATTCAACAAAATATATTGAGTTTCTCTGTGTTATGGGTCTTTTTCTAGGTACTAGTGCTATAAAGGTGAAGAAAGAGAAGGCATCAATAGAAAAGATATCAATGAGTAGTAGCTTTTATAAACTTGTTCTTCCACCAGTCATAGGTACCTTAACCACCATGTCCTGTCCAAACTTGCACCCAGATTTTGCCCAAGTGGCATTTGACGTGTGTGCAAAGGAGAGTCTGAGAGGGACTTAGTAGTAGTAGAAGTAGTCATAGAAGAGGAAGAAGAAAAAGGAAAAGGAAGAGGAGGAGTAGGGAGGGAAAAGGCAGGAGAGAGGGAGAAGGAGAAGAGAATACAAAGAAATAAGTAAAGAAAGACAAAAGAAGGAAGAAGGAGAGGAGAAAATGTATCTGAGAAATAGGAAGGAAGGAAATGGACACAACTTGGTGACTGAATGTGGGACCAGGCAATAGGCAAGAGGATTGAGTCTGAGATGACATTTAGCTTTCTGTCTTAGGTTGGTAGTTAGTAGGGCCATTCACTTAAATAGGCAATACAGGCAGAATAGCAATTTAGGGGAAAAGAAGATGGTTCAGTTTTGATATGTTGGACCTGTATGGTGCTTCTGGCACTTCCAAGCAGAGACATCCAGAGGAAGCTGGGTGTACGGTTTTAAAGCTTTAAAGATATAGATTTGGGATGTACCAGTGTTACATGAAGCCTTGGAAATGAATGAAATCATACAGAACATCATACAGGAGAATAAAACCATTATGTAGAGAGAGAGAAAAGAAGGTGTAGAAGGATGAGAATTTGGTGGGCATCAATATTTTGGGCAGTAATTCTTAACCTTTGCAGGTTGATGATATTTCTGATAATCAGAGGATTTCTAGAGAAAGCCAAATTTCACAGACTTACAGAATTTTGTAATTTCCAAGGTGTTGAGACTCCCCTTGTGAACTTCCATAGCTTTCAGGTGTTTAAATGGTGAAAGAGGAAGGGGAGCCCATGAAAGACAGTGAGAAGGGGAATCAAATAGAAGTGGGAAAACCAGATTCTCAACTCATGGAGATTTATTCATCTGACCTAATGCAATGGTAGATACAAACTCTCTAAATGAGCAGACTGTTTCTCTTATATTTTTGTTCATAAAACTAGGAAAGCAAGAGTGCACATTTAGAAGTAATTTATGGAATTCACTTTTTCTTCATAGCCCTTCACAATTGAATTGAATTTCTCCCCTATTTCATTTTGAGTTTTCTTTCTTTGAGTCCTAGAAACCACAGCTTTGTTAACTTTGGAAAGAGAGATTTTTAGAGTATATGAATAATCCCACAATGATTTTCTTTTCCACATAGGTATAAGATAGGGGAAGGGCAAGGCCAGCATGCATTCGTGTTTTATTAGGATCCCTTCCTTGTATGTCACACATACCTACAGAAGTGATGATAACTGTGAAATGAGTTTCATCTTGCCTGCCGGTTATGTTGTTGTAAGCACAGCACACATAGTCAGTTGTCTTCTGCGCTACGTTCTCAGATGCAACTTCTAAGCGAGGCCCATGCTTAATGATATATGTTGTATTGTCAGTCCTCCTAATCCAGGAGTAGGTGTTGGGGGGATAAGAATCAGCAGAACAGTCAAATAGGATGGCCTCTCCAAGGTCAACAGTAAACACTTCCCCTACTTTTAGCCCTTTATCAGAATTCACTTGAAGTCCATAAGGTCCATCTGCATCAATATAAAAAAAGAAATAGATAAGTAGCATAAGTAATCACAACATAGGTCTTGAGTTTGGGAGAGCTTAGTAGCATTTTACTGTTTTTGAAAGTCTTCATCTTAGAATTGGATGAGCAGGTCCTTGCTTAGACTCCCAATAAATGATGAGGACCTAAATATATTTTATTTTGATATCCATGAAAGTGAAAATTATTTGAGATTTGATTTGAAATAGTGATTTGAACTAATCTGAAATAGTAAAAGCCTGAAATTTCACATTTAATTTTACAAATACTGTCATCATAATTGTGATGCTAAGGTTTTGAGTAATGTATTGATAAATCTGCAATCTTGTAGACAAACTCAATCTTTCTGTTCTATGACTAGCTTATTTTTATATGCTGATTTATTTTGTTTTATTATTATTTTTAATTGAGACATGATAATTGTACATATTTATGAGGTACAGTGTGATGTTTTGATCGCATGTTTTGATACACATATACAATGTGTAATGATTAAATCAGTCTAATTAGTACCTCCATCACCTCAAACATTTATTATTTCCTTTTGTCAGTAACATTCAAAGTCTACTGTTGTTGCTGTTTGAAAATACACCATAAATTGCCATTAATTATAGTCACCCTATAGTGCTATAGAACACAAGAACTTATTCCTCGTATCTAGCTGTCCATTAACTATTTTTGTGTCTATTAACCAACTTTTGGCTACCCTCTACCACTCCACCCTTCCCGATCTCTAGTAACTACTATTCTACTCTCTATGTCTATTAGATTAACTTTTTAGCTTCTACACATTAATATTTCTGAAATAGTCATTGTACTTGAAAATATTTTTACAACAGATTATGGCCACTATTTTCTCTTTAACAACCATATTTTCGGTACTATCTATTTTTCTTCTCAGTGCTAGGGTAGGCCATATAAATATTTATAGAAGACATTGTTTCACATGGAACACTGTGCAAATAGACATTGGGGTGTTTGGTATTTTTACAACATTTTAACAGCTAAAGAATTTTTTAAATCCTCCCACCCATGCCCCAGCTAAGCTTAGGATTCCATTTGAAAAAAAAATTACATCTTCCTTATCGTTAACTAATATGCATTGATTATCAATAAACTACTTAATCCCCTGGTGTTTTTTTCCACATTGCAGTACTCCTGTAGCATTTTACCATTTCTATGGTGTTAGGTTGCCAGTAGGTGAAGACACATTTCCCATTGCTTTCTTCAGAGAATAAGGAAAATTTTAAAAATAATCTTCACCTAGATAGGTTTTCTCATTCATTCTAAATCCTGGCTTATAGTCTAAAAATCTTTGAGTTTTAGGTATGCTTATGTACACCTTTCAGCTGCTCATTACCAACATTTATTGGATATCTGCCATGAGAAGACACTTTAAGTGCTTATGCAGATAATAATATTTAATATTTAAAGCAACCACCAGGAGGTAGATGCCATTATTCTAATTTTAAGATGAGGAAAGTAATATTTAAACAATTTATTTGCCCATGGTCATATAGCTATTAAATAGCAGAGCTGGGACTCTAAAATATATGCACTTAATCATTCATATTACTTCTCTAGAAAGAAATAAAGTGGTATAACTTTCTATATCATAATAGTTTATTGTTGTCTAACTATAGTACTAGTTCTACAATCAATTACTAATTATATATTAATATTAATTCTGTAATCATCCAATCAAGTAATGAATCAAATATTTATTTGAGAGCTGCTAAGTATGAGATAATATATTTAGAATATGGGAGATGGAAGTATAAGACATTCATATTCTCAGGGAATTTACAAACTGGATATGGCTATGGATGGTTTGCTCAGTGATGACCTCATCTTAAAGGCCCTGATTTTTCTTAAAGTATGAGCTATTTATCTCTCCACATGCAGAATAATAGAATGTAGTAACTAAACATTAGGGTAACTGATTTTTTTCAATCATTAGCTAGGCATTCTTCAGAAGTCATTTGAATTTTTTGGGTCTCATTTTCCTCACCTTTTAATATGAAAAGATAGGTTAGAGGACTAATTGCCAAGATTCTTTCTAACCCCTTTGAAACACCAGGATTCTTGCCATGCCATTAAAAGTATGGCCAAAACTGCAATTACTTTTGCACCAACCTAGTAAAACCATTTCGGATATTGGCAAACCAATCCCAAGTTCGCAAATTCCCAGAGTGGTTCTGAACAATCTGCCACTGAGGAGACAAATTTTCTAAGCTATAACAGAAAACGAATATACAAAACAATAGATTATCTCTAGCTAGAAAGCATAGACTAATCTATGTTTTCTTTCTAGAGTAAAAGGCATATGGAGAAATGTGAAGGAACCCTACAGGTTTTTATTAATATACCTGCATGAGGTAAGCCTGCTTTCAGAAAGCAAACAGAAGTTAGTACTTTCAATTTAAAGTAATCAGGAACTGAAGGTACAGGATTAAAATAAGGAGAGATTTCTGCCCCTTTCCTGTCACTGTATAAGAAGCCTGTTCCCTCATTTCAGGCTGTGACACAGTCTCAGGTGAAACCACTGTGATAAAAGCTTTAGAACAGTGTGCTGTAAAATGGAACTCTTTTATTCTGAATTCCACTAAACAGTAAGTAGGGTAATGGGAACAAAAATTTGTTTTTGCTCACTCAACCAAAATCAATATTGAGATTACTTTGCACATGGTATGATTCTAGGCATAGTGAGGACATCTGAGATGTTGATCACATGCTGTGTATGGCTATTATCTCAGGCCTTGTGGTTCAGAAGGAATCCTTCATGTTGTCAGCGTTGATAGAACATTAGGAAAGGAAAGATCACCAAGCAATGAGCACGGTTATGGTTCACATCGAAGGAAACCAGCAGGAGGAATTTACTATAGTTTGGAAGAGCAAGAGACCTGAGTCTATGTACAAAAACTAAAGTCTGAGGGTCTAAGAGTAGAGCGAGGCAGACTTGATAAAGAAGAAAAATGTGGTCACAAAAACACAGCCATTCAATTTAGGTCTTCATCTTCCCCCTGGTTTTTGGGGTATAGAGAATGGGGCTATGAAAACAAATTGTCTAGTAATTTAATACACACAAAAATGAGTGTTACTCCTTTTCAAGCATGCTGATATTACTCAAAACTTTTCGGGGAACTCCTCATTTGGAGTTGCCTTAGGACCCTGCCACATAATGGAGTATTCTCACAAGCAGTAATTCTTCAATTTCAATTTCAGAGGGTGGGTTTAATTTGTAGAGGAAGCCCATACTCATTTAGAGCTAAGGCTGGTAAATAAGGTCAATTATCTAATTTAATAAGATCATTCTGGTTTAAAATAAAAATACCTTTAAAGAAAGTAATCTGATTATCTTAGCTTATCTTCCTTAATCATGTTTATTTTGATTTTGTTACTTCCTCATTTATTGAGTTTCATGATTGGCGTAATTTTTTCTCTTCTGTCTGTTTTATTTATGTGCTATATCTGACTCTTCAGAAGCAGCCTTAAATCCCTCAAACTTCCTTGCCCCCACCTCAACACCTCTTCCAACTCTTGAACCTAACACTTTGAAGCATTTCAGTTCCTTGCTTCTGATATGTTTCTTAAAAGGTAACATAGTTTATCTATTTACTTAAGAAATGCAAGGTTTTTTTTTTTTTTTTTTGTGCAGAAAATCCTAAAATTCAGAGAAGCACAAAGATGAAAAGAAAGTCATTTGTAATTTTATTGCTCAGAGAACGAATATCCACATTTCATGGATGATTTTCAAGTCCTTCTTTAATGCATCTTTTTCTCTCTCTTTATCACACATGCACACAAATCTAACTACATCTCAAACTCTACATGTTGCTTACAATCTACTTTCTTCTGACTCTACTATGATGTTATTTCCTTTATCATTAGAACTCCAGGCTGACTATCCCTCTACTTGGAGGGGCAGCCTAGTACCTTATTTAAGTGAATGGGCCATCCAGTTGGAGATATTTGGAGTGATTCAACTAGAGTGACCTCTGATACTGAAGATGAAAGCAGAAGGATAATTCCATTTTGACTTTGGATTATGGTTTACTTTCTTGCCTTTGGCAGAGAGCTCCCAATAGAAATGAACCCTTTGCCTTGGGGATGGCTGTTTACTAAATGACTTGTAAAATCACATATCATCTGTTCTCTTAAACAATTTATGACTGTGTGGGAACAGTACCTAAATTTACATCATGATGCTGTTTGCCGCCCTGTTTGGGAACAGATGGTAAGTATTTACTGTGAATGACCTTTTATTTTCCCTTTAATTTTTATCACTTAGAGCTCTCCACTGCAGCATTGCCATATGTTGCACACAAAATGCAGTGGTTACTGGGTTATTATTTACAACTGGAGCTTTAAGGCGTATCATGAACTGCAAGTAGATACTTGTCTGAGTTATTGGTTTGACATTGTAGTCGACCAAGGCCAATACCAGATTATAACATCACAACCTCATAAGTATATAGTCCGTCTTAATAGATTTTGTTATACTTTTTCTGCCAAAATAAAAATTAGTTCCTACTTTCATGAAAAAACCCTTCATGGAAACAGTGCCTTTAGAAAACAGAATAGTTGATTTTGCTAAAGGTCAGGGAAAAAAGTGCCAAAGCACTATTATGAAGAAGCTGTCATCTTATAATGGGAATTTAGCCTTTTTACAGCATCGTCAAGTAACACTGGAATCTAAAAGGGATATGAAGAAAGATAATCTGTTCCATTTTAGTCCAGTTCAAGAAACTTTATTGATTTCTTAATCTCTGTCAGCTATTGCCCTATGGATACAAAGATGAAGAATGCAGAACTCTGGTTTGGGTTTGTGGTGTTCATGAGAGTCAGGGAAAATAGAATGCAGAGAGGACCAGGAATGAGAGTGCCTAGGATGCTGAAGGAGCATAATGAACCTATTAGAGACACTGAGGTGGTGAGACAAGTGGAGGCAGGCAAACCTTTCTGGAAAGGATAATGTCGTGAAGGAAGAAGAAGGTAACCAGATGAAGAAAGGGAAGTATGAATAACACCAACCAAGGCACATATTCCCAGCTTGCAGGGAATGATAAAGATTGTAAACATCTGGATGCCACATCAACAGATAGGATATACAACCAATCTTCAGATTACAGTATACATTTTATTTAATTTTTGTTACTCAAAAGCAACAAAACCAACCAACCAAAACAAAAACAGGGCCAAAATAGTGACAGCAAGAAAAATTATTAAATTAATGGGTCTGGGTTGTGTTTGTACATATTGTATGGTAGGTAGTAACTGTTTAGCACAAATAAGAACCTGATGTTTGATTTTTAAAATCATATAAAGGAATGAGTCCATAAATGAATAAATAAGTGAATGAATGAGTATCAATAAGATAAGATGTTGACCAAGTGAAGGATTCTGCATTTGAATGTAAAAATAGTGAAGACAAAAATTAGTAATACAATGTTCACAATTAGCAATTAACAAGAGTCAAAATCTTTCTTAAGGCATATAGATAATTCATCTTTACAATGTGTAAATGGAACCCACATTTGTAAATTTTCTAAATGTTCTATTATCTGTCATTACTCTTTGCATGTGATAGATGTTTCTCTGTGAGATTTTTCATACATAATGTTTAAAATAATGTAAAGAAGAGAGTTCAATCTGTCAGCAAATGACAGATTCTGTGAAGTGTGAACGTACTCAAATTGGGGTATTCTCATTCTTTTAACTAACATCGTGAAGGAAAGAAGTCTTAGGAGCCTAAAGCATAATGTTTAACATTTGCAGGTTTGATTATGGTTTTCCTTCCTGTTTTTATATTTTCCACACTATGTATCACAGCATATTCTGTGATAATAATGAGATTGGTGCATAGACTTGCACATGTTGAAAGAAAGATCTTATTTTCATTTTTCCAGATTAATATGAACTGTATAGCAAAACAAAAGTATATTTCAAAAATGATATTTGCATGTGCCTGAAATTGCTTAAGCAATTTTCCACAGGACTTTTTCATTTAAATCTATGGCTAGAGTTTAAAGATAGGCAGGTAGGGATGGAAAGACCTACAGATAAAGAGCTAGAAGAAATGATTGATGTAAAGAAAATATTTTACTAGAGAAAAATAAAGTATGTTAAATTCAGGAATGGTAATATTTGGAGAGGAAAAAAGTTCTTCTGAAGGTATTTTTCAGTTTCTTCATTGCAGCCTCTGCATTGTTCTGGGTACTTGAAATTGAGATTCTTGCATTCCACTGGGAATGAGGTCACACAATGGACTGAATCACGAAATACAACCTGAATGGCCCCTGGCCAGTATTTCAACTTGATCTTTAAGAAATAGGGTTGTGCTAGTAGACATGTTTCATACAAGACAGTGCCTAGGAGGTATGATTAGAACTACTGAACTACAATAAAGGTAAAAGCCAAATGACATCTGGTACTTATATTCTCTGTGACTATCCTGGGAGACATTCTCAGAAAACAACAACAACAAAAAACTCATGAGTTAAAAAAAAATAAACTTACAATATATGATGGGCATAATGATATCACTTTCCATTTCACTGACAGGGTTCCTCACCAGGCAGCTGTAATTCCCAATGTCTTCCTTGGTCACTGGAGCAATATGAAGGGTATTGTTTTGGGGAGAAAAGGAGTAGGTAGAGCTGGTGTGGGCAGGTCTCCCATTTTTTAGCCATTGGTAAACTAGCCGAGTGCCCCCTTCCACCTGGCATGTCAGGGTCATGTTCCCCACATACTCCACGGACCCAGAGGGAGGATGAATCTGCACCACTGGCTTTGTGACAGGATCTGCAATATTAAGAGAGATAGCAATGATTTTTTCTTCTCATTGAATTATAATAAAACCTTATGAGGTCTTTCCAATATGAAGTCCTGGAGAAATTATCCCAGCATTTTACACTGTAAATGTAGACAGCTCAGGTAATAACTAAAGAAGAGAAGAGGATAAAAAGCCAGGGAAAATGCAAAATGTCAAAATACGAGAATATCCTTTATAGTCAGAGATAATCAAATTCCAGAACTTACTTTCCAAGGATGATCTAATGAAGCCCTTTACTTTATAGGTGGCTGAGAATGGAATGCCAGCTTTCTTATTCCTGTTCATTGTGCTTTCACCAACACCATAAAGGTACACTTTCCCAGGCAAAATTTATATGGCTATTCCCCTCTATTGACTTGTCCTAATGTCCCAATAGCAGCTGGTTGGGATAGATGTGGTGAACTCAAATTTCTATCATCTGCAAAATATACAGCTAATATATACTATACTTTTGGGAAACTGAGGGATAGTTTTAGCGAATCACATATGTACAATTATTCTTTCTATGTATGTCATGAAGCAATTATAAACTTTAATTGCTTTGCATTTGTGTTGTAACATTATGTTAGTCACTTTAACAAATTAGAGCCTGCATTTCAACACTGACTCAGTCTGAAAATAGGATAAAATATATTCTTGGGCTTTTATCAAATTAGAGAAAAAAATACAAATCCAATAGAAATTCCTGTTGGAAAGTCAAGTCATAGGAAAATAGTCTTAGTTCATCATCTGCCACACAGTAGGCTCTTAATATTTGTCAAAGTAAATTTCCAAAAATGAGTAAATATTTTCTCTCTGAATTTTAACTGTAAAGTTGATGGATTATATAATCATGGTAGAATTATATAAGAATCTGCAACCATTTTTGGCAATTTTCTTTAATCATTGAAGTTCTTGACTTAATTGATAAAAACAGTGGCTTGCCCAGAGTTACACAGCAGTCAGTGGCAAAATGAAGAGGGCTTCACATCTGGTAATGTTTCTCTTCTGCATTTTGGAGCGGGGTGTATTTAGTAATCCCCTTCTATGTATGACTACAGGACACAGAGAGAGTAGGATGATACATAAGTGAGAGATGATTGTGTCCAATGTTTAGACTTCAATTTCCTGTCAAGCTTTTAATTAGGGTCGATGCATCTTCCTCAGGTAGATTTATTTTGACTTGTGCTTATATTTTTGTACACTAGAAAATGTGCATTAGAGAACAAACTGACCAATTCTCCATCCCAGAGAAGATAGAAGAAAGTGAAAGGGAAAGGAGGTCAAAAGGTAACTTATAGGGGAACTGAGTAGTTCTGAAGCCTCTAGCACTTTTCAAGGAGGGTGTAATCAACTGGCTCATCTATTTAATTTATTCCTTCATCTTCCCTGGCAAGAACAAAAGATTGGGAAAAACTTTATGTTCATGATATTATGATTTAAAAAGAAAAACAAATTGTGTACATTTAATATGCAGAAAAATCTTTTATTTCAAATGCACCTGTGTGTGGAACTGTAAGTGGTATGAGATAAATAGGTAACATATCAACAGTCTTGTATGAGAAGAACCAATCATTAGAATAGTCACTGGTATTGTGATCATACCTTTGCTTAAAACAGTATAACTCAGATGAAGAAGTTTTTCTTCTGAGAAGAATTTTGGCACAGGCCCTAAAACCCTATTGAGGCTTTACTAAGTTTTTGGTTGCATTTTCCTAAGCAGATTTAACTTTACTATTAATTAACAAGAAATGATATTGTATTAGGAGGGAGACAGGACACCATATAGGAAATCTTCATGGAAATTCCCTTTAGATCTCTCTTGTCTTTTTCCCCACAATTGCTCTATAGGCATTTGCTTTTACCTTCTGCGTCTTTACTCCCCTGAAGTCTCCCCGGTCTCCTCTGTGGCCACTCATTTACTCCACAGATAGTTGCTGAATCTACTAGCGATCAGCAAAGGTTTTACGCACTGAGGACAAAGCAGCAAATAATACAAAGTCCCTGCTCCCAGGGACCTCATATTCTAGGTGGGGAAGAGAAACAATAAACAAATAAAAATCTATAATATGCCCGGGTAGTAATAAATGCTATGAAAGAGAGAGAAGCAGAATTGGAGAAAGAGAGTGACTCTCTCTCTCTCTCTTTCTCTCTGTCTCTCTCTTTTCTCGGAGTGTGTGTGTGTGTGTGTTTGGGGACGTGAGATTATGTTTTATATAGCGTGGTCAGTAAAGAATTCACAGACAAAGTGACATTTGAGCTGAGACCTAAAGGAAATGAGGGGAGCATGCTAGTATCTTGGAGAAAAGCTGTCTAGGTAGAGCAAACAGCAAGTACAAAGGCCCTGAGGAATCAGTGTGTTTTGGCCTGTTCCAGAAAGAGCATGGAGGCCAGCATGACCAGAACCAAGTGAGTGAGGGGGATACAGATAGGAAAATGGGGTCAGATAGGCACTGGGTATGTGGGGAATTGCAAATTGTTAATACTTTGACTTATACTCTGAGTGAGATAGAAGCAATGGGAGGATTTTAAGCTGAAGGAGGCAGGAATAGAAGCAGGGAGAGTAGGTGGCAAAGCTATTAGGATAGTTCAGGCCATGGCTGATTGTGGTATTGAGTGGGGCAGTACTGGGGGGTGGTAAGTGGTTGGATTTTGTCTATATTTTCAAGGTAAAGCCAATAGGCTTTCCCGTGGACTGGATGTGGGATGTGAGAAAAAGAGGTCAACAGTGACTGCAAGGTTTTGGCTGGAGTAATTGATAGAATGGAATTCATATTTATTAAAATGGGGAATACTGTTATAAATAAACAGGTGTAGAGAGAAAAAATCAGAAGTTGGGCTTTGGGCACAGTATATTTTGTGTATGTCACTTACTTCAATAAGGAAAACAAGTGTCTGAAAGTTAGCTGACCCCACTGCCCCTCAGAGGACATTTTCAGGCATGTCCATTGTCCCTAAGTATCATTCCTGCACAAGTCTCATCCTCTTCCAAACAGTGTACTGAAACAAAAATCTTCATGACAAAAATAGGGCTCTTCCCAGGGTATAGTCTATTGTTGAGAAAATAAGATTTTTCTCCATCTCATCAAATTAGCAACATTATACTTGATAGTTCCCAGGCAAACAAACAATAAGTTATATGTAGTGCTTGATTACCTATTGCTAGGCACTAGGTATATCTCTTACATGCATGTCTTATTTAATCTTCAGAAAGCCTTGTGAGGTAGATAATGTCATTAGTGCCATGAGACATTGAGGCTTTGAGGATTAATTGATTTGTGCAAAGTTGTGAAGCCAGGATCTAAAGCCAAGGTATTTTAGTCTCCTGGGCTTTTGCTAACTACCATACTAGACTGCTACCCACATACACTCACAGGGGACTCACCATCAACCGTGACTTGTATCTTCTGACTGGAGGATAGAGTTCCATTTCCCTGAATGTTGACCTTCACGATGTAATTGCCTTCATCAGAGAACTGCAGTGGGTTGATAAGCAGAGAGGCATTGGGTGGCATCATCGTGAACTTGTGTTGGTATTCCAAGTCAGGAACCACAGACTTATTCACAGAGCCCAGTAAGTATTTGGGCATCGTGTGGGGTCTCTCAAATAGCCATATGATCTGGATGTCTGATGCTGGAGTGTGGAAGCCATAGTGGACGGGTAGGTAGAGGGCCTGACCTCTGATGCCATGGACAGTGTGTGATGGCACTGTCACCTTCAGCCCCGAGCAAGCACCTGTTGCAAAGGAAAGGAAAGTTGTGAAGAACTTGAGCCACATTTCACACTCTAAAGGGGCAACTGCAGAGAGAACCTGATCAGGTGATAATCCTTTTCAAAGAAGAGTGGCTTCTAGGTACTGACTATTCTAGTACGGGTTACATATAGAGGTAAATATTTGTCTCTGAAACTTTCTGCACTTTAAAAACTCCACCCAAAGACTGTGCTGATTGCACAAGATAAAAAGGAAAAGCAGAAGTTATTTTCTATGATTGCTACAGAATAATGGGAAAAGGAGAACTAAGAAAGTTTACTACTTCTAAAGTCCAATGAAACCATTAAAACATTTGGAATTATGACTATATTAATGTCTGCCATAGCATATCATAATCTAACCATGTGATTTGAGAAATACTAGGGGCTATTTCCTCGTAACATTTTCCCTTAAAGCCGTCTGAAATGACTGAATATTCCATTATTGGAAGTTCTTCCCTTTAGCCAAATGCTTGCCAAACGCAAATATCCCAAGGAGAGTGGTATTAAACCATTGTCAGTCATGACCAGTTATTTCCACCCAGAACAGGCATCTGGTTGGTGTATTTGAGAAACAGCAAGAGGCAGGTACAGATGGAGCACAGTGGAGGAGGAGGAGCATGATAAGATATGAGGTCAGTGAGGTGGCTGTGACAGATTGGCAGGACCTTAGGATCATGGGAAAAACTCTGGCAATTTTACTCTAAGATGGGGATGCAATAGGAGTTTCATGAACAGAAAAGGGCTATGATTTTTCTTATGTTTTATTAGACCTAGTCTAGCTGCTGTGAGAATACACTGGAATAGAGCTAGAGCAGGAACAGGGAGAACACTTAGGAGGTGACTGCAATGTAATAGGCCGGAGACAACTGTGCTGGAGACTAGGGTGTTAATAAAAGACGTCTTGGAAAAAGACTGATTGTGACAAAAGGATTTGCTGACACTTTGAGGGTGTCAGAAACAAAGAGGATGCCAAGCTTCTTGACTTGGACCAACTGGAAGAAAGGAATTGCAGTAAATAAATTAATCATGGGGAAGACTATGGGGAGAATAGTTTTTTGTGGGGAAGACGAGGATTCAGTTTTGGGCATGTTCATTTTGAGATGCCCATTAGACATCCAAGAGGCAAAGTTGTGAAATCCTGGTTAATGAGAATTTAAGAGAGAATGAGGGACCTGGAGGGCCCTGGGGCATGGAGCTCTGCCCAGTGGAGAGCTCTGGGCAGTGCTGGGGATTTTGGGGCCTATGCATTCACCGCTGTATCTTCAGGTTTCTTCCCAGTTTCTGGCAACTGGAGATTTCCCCATCTTACCTTAAGCCATGATATATTATTTTATGTTATTTAGCATTTCTATGTATTTGCAGGGGGAAGAGAGTCTTCCTTAGCTCGGGTTACCATGTTGCTGGAAGCTCTTTGCTTCAAAATCCTCATATTAAAAGGGGCAATATGATACCCACAACATAGGAACATTTGACATAGTAGAGAGTGAGAGAAATTTAAATGTGGAATATTTTGAATAATGAGAGAAAAAATAGACAACAGAAAAGAACCTATAGACAATGAGTATAGACAACACTTTTTGGGGAGTTTTGCTGTGAAGAGGAGCAGAGAGATGGGGCAGAGGCTGGAGAAAGATCAAAAATGAAATCAAGAGAGTTTTCTGCTACTGGGAATGTTCCACTGGAAAGGGAAATGTTGATGAGTCAGAATAGAGAAGGGTGAAAGTGGAATAAAATCCTTAAGCGAGTGAGAAGAGATGGAAATTAGATATAAATATAAGTACTTTACAATTTTAAATTTCTCAAATGCAAAATGTTTATCCTCTTTGATCGCTTCCCCTTTTTCATTTTTTTCTACATTTTTTTCATTTCATTCTACTAGAAAGGGAGTGTTTAAGCTTCATCCAAGTCATGTCATGAAAGGTCATCAATATTAAAAAGGGAAAGGTATTAAAATAAATATTAAAAATATTAAATAAAATATTAAAAAGGTCTGTTTGCCTTTTGTGATTTTTTTTCTTGGAAAAACTCAAAGACGTAGGCCTGCTCCTATGAGGAATCCAGTTCTACCAACAGTAAATTTATCTCATTCCTTCCCAGAGTGGAGGTAGGAGCAAAGATTCCCACAGTTTGGGCCTTTCGCTAGCTATTAGTAGAGAGTGAAACTCTGGGGTTGGCACGAAGTTAGAGCAAAGAATCCAAGAGGAGAAAACACCAAAGAGGAAGATAGTTGGTTAGAGGGAGAAGAGACTCCTAGACTCTCAACTGAAACTTACCGTATGGACTGAAAAGCAGAAACTGTAAGAGAAACATAAAGACATGTCTTATTGTCTCCTTTGCCTCTGTGTGTTTTTGTGATTAACTTCTAAGATTTTTTTTCTTCTGATAATGGACCTACTTGCACACTTTGGTGATTAGTCCATAACAAAGGAGTTACAAGGATGAGAATTCCCTTCTGTATGCTTTTCTGCCAAGTGTAAGACTATTAAATCTGGAATTTTTCCTAATTTAAGTGATTAGAAGAAGAGAAAACTGGGTGCTGGGAATTCTAAAGAGGAGATAAAGTGGATTGCAGAAAGGAAGCAGTGGTTTTCACAACGAAACAGTAGGAGAGAGAAAGAAGGATGGGAGAGTAAATCTATGTCTCAAAATTACTGATGTCTATGATATGTGAAGTAGAGGCTGACAGTGGTGGTGAAACTATTAAAGTCATAGATTTAGTAAGACATTTGGCATTTGGATGGGAGATCAGCACAGGAAAAGATTCCTCTTTGTCTATCTGTTTTCTGCACAAAACAAAATGCATTTATATGCCTTTCATTGAAGTTGAAGATAGGCGGTTCCTGACAAGTTCCTGGTAAGCAACAGTTTAAAAAAATAGGTTTAGTACCTGTTATTACTAACTTAAGATATGTAAATTGGAACTTTCACTGATTGTGTTGTTCCCTCCTTTTTTTATTTTTTATTTTTTTTACACTTGAGTAAATATGAAAATATTTACAAGGGTTTCATGACTCACTACTGATCTTGGACTCCCATGTTCTATGTCCACCACTTGCAAATAGCCCTAAAATAATGATTTTCAAGCACCTATTTTCTTAACTTGAAGATTACTGTGTTTGTTTTTTAATAAAGTTAAAGATCTACTGAAATATGAAGTCCTAGTAAAGGACACATACTTGGGGTAAAATGGTGATTGGTCAGTTATGTGACCTTAAATAAGTCATTTTAATTCTCAGACTCAGTTTTCTCATATGTGCATAGGAGGTAATACTGGATAAGGCCTTTCTCAACTCTCTTAATTTTATGTTCTTGACATCCTGAGGTGCTTTTCCAAGGGTAGCAGCTACCTATATTTGAAGGTGAAGGGCCCAGAGGGTTTTGACAGGATCCAAATTGAGAGAGGGCCTAACGAATTTTGAAGAATTGAGTCTCAGTTTGTGGTCCATTTACTAAGTCGTCAATACTTGGAAATCCTTTAATAAAACAGCAATTCTGTGATTTTTTACAAAGAAATCAAGGGGGATGATGGAAGTCCATATAATTGCCTTGGGAATGCACTGGAAAAAGCTGTACCACTGCTAATAGGGAGCAGTTTTGTCATGGATATACTGGTTCACTTAGGACATTTCACAACACAGCCTAGAAACCACCACTAGGCTGAGAAGGTCTGAATGGACTCTGACCAATTTGTGCTTGTCATTTGGGAAAGCCATTGCCAAAGTCCTTCTCTGCTTTTTTTGTAATCAACTTCCTTTGTAGTTATATTTGAAAAGATTGACTGAGATGTATTTAATACTCTGGAAATGGTTGGGAGGCACTATATGACTATGGGGTGACAATATCGCTAGAATAGAAATGTTGATGACTTTTGGATCTTGACCCAGAATGTTGAATCTTACATATGAAAAGACTGGTTAGAGAGTCCATGACTAAAATTATGGGAGGAAAATTTTATTTAATGAAATATTAAATACAATACAAATATTGAAGCTCTGAGAAAAATAAAACTACATTAGTAGAAGACATTTTATATAGCATTTATGATCATTATTTAGGGGGAAAAATTAGTTTTGGGGGCTAATTTAGACTGCATCATGTAACAATACCTTAAATAATATATTGCCATCAGTATCTCTGAATAGGTTCAGTGCTTTCTTATTAAATGAAAAGTTTTTTTCAAATATGTATGCTTTTTCAAATGTTTGTATGACAGTGAGAAATAGCACAGCTGTTACAGTAACTATTTGCTTAGAGATTGCCTATACAATTTTTTATCAGATAAATTATAGGTAGCAAGTTATAAGAATGTCAGCAGGGAATGAAATTTTCTTTATACAGTATCTTATCTCAGTTACGTAAAATCTCTTCATTTTGCAGGAAAGACATGAACCTATCAATATGATACAATCTTTGCTTGTAGTGAAATTTGGGAATAAATAGATAATTGAATGCTTCCTCCACATTCTAGGAACACATACTCTCTTGCCATCGTTGTGTTACCCGCTACAGATGTGATGAATTCATGCTGTCAAACACAGTAGTCTACTAATGTTAGAAAACTTAGCTTCATTTTGAGAAATTTTCAAGTGCTCTTTTCTAGTTGTATGAGAAAACCCAAAGGACTAAAACTATTGATTTTAGAAAATCAACCTCTGCATGAACAGATAAACTTCAAGAAAATAAATAATATAAAAAGGCCGATTGTGGTGGCTCATGTCTGTAATCCGAGCACTTTGGGAGACTGAGGTGGCAGAATGCTTGAGCCCAGGAGTTTAAGACCAGCTTGGGCAACACGGCCAGACCCCATCTCTATTTTATTTGAAAAAATACAAAAACAAAAATAATAAACAACATAAAAATTGATGAAATTTAAATTTATTTTTAATATTCCAAATATTTGGACTTAAATGGAAATTTAGAGTCAATTTTATTATTACATTCACTATTACTTTCAGGGTATAATAAACAAAAACTCTTATAAATTATAGTTCTGTTTAAAAAAATCTTGACTTTTTGCATGTAAGGCATTACACAAATCTGGAGAAACATTTATAATACTAACCATAATCTGACATACAAAATTGCAGCAATAATCCCTCCTTTTACGGACCCTCTTACATTGTATAACAATAGCACTATAAAAAAGTGTCCAGTGTTAAGGTACACTTGAAGTCCTACTGTAGAATTTATCTATATTCCAGCAACAAAGGACTCCCTAGACCGGTTTCATTGTATTGAATATAAACATCAGATTTCACAAAGTGAACTCTGCTGTAGCTCAAAATAGCTGGCATTTACTTCCCTGTTATCATTCGTGGTATTAACAAGCATAACACAACTATTGTTGACTGAAAATAAAATCTTGCATCTTTAGAGAAAATAGAAATTATGATGTATTTTGAATAAACTGCACAAACTGTATATTTTAGGCTTCATATTTTTAAAAATTTTTTAAAAAGAAGAAACAAACAAAAATTCAATATTCCTAAGAGCAAAAAGATTGCCAAATCACCTGTGGTCTTTACAACACACTACCTATGGAGAAAAGCAAATTTGCAGGAGAGAGAAGGTCCTAAGGTATAAAAACTGCTTTAGCTATTTATGAACATGCTATTTTCCTAATGTACATTTGTTTTATTTTAGTTGAATTCCTTAACTAAATTGTCTCGAAGTTCTTCTCAACGCCAGCTTCAAAAACAACACTTATAAAATGATAGCAGTCCTACTGTTTTAAAAATAAAAATAAGTGGGACGATGACCCAGGATACCTTCAAAGGCAAGAAAAATGCACAAAGATAGAGACAGTTATAGTAATTATTTACTTTTTCAAAAATTTTAGCAAACAAAATTCTATTATAGGCTTAAATTTGATAACATAAATACTGTAATAACTGGAACAATCACAACTCTGGGAAACTCAAAGGCTTAAAAAAATTTACAAACTGTACATTTCAAATGTGTGAGATAGGTACAACATTAGGTATGAATTTGAATAATAACATTTACAATGCAAACTTTAACAAAATATAGGAGTGAAAGTAAGGCTCTAAATAACTGAAGAAGCCTAAAAGTTAAATTGCTTAGTTTGCTAAGCTGTTCTTAAATTTTTTAAAATGTAGCCTTTTTTGAACTCCTATCTGTTGAATATAAACAAAACAAGAAATTGATTTGACTTTTAAAACTGATAAATAGGAAGAATGGAAAAGAGAACATCTGGTGAAAACAATGTTGACAGACAAGCATTCAGAATGTTGGAAAGAGACTCCTTTAAACTTTAAGGATAAAGAGGAGAATGAGGGAAAATATTAAGGTACAGAAAAAAATTTTTAATAGGACTAGCCATTGGGCAAAGAGAAAAGCTAAAGGCATTTTGGAGTAACAGTCTTTTCAAACACGTTCTCCCTTTTGTGTAGGAAATTTTCTTGTTAGTTTGGAATCTGATCTTCTTCCATATTTCATAAGATGAAACAGATAAAACGAAGCAGTAAACAGTTTGCAACAATATCTTTAATTAAAAAGAAAACAATTTTCATAAATTATTTGGAGTTTCACTCTAAGTGGTCACAATTTCATGGCCTATTAGAATATTTGCTGAAACAAATACATCAGACTATTGAACCGATATGTATACTCTAAAAAGAAAAAAATCATTACATTTTAAAAATATCTTAATTCTCTTAATGGGTGCTATGACAATAGTTGTTGTTCCAAGAAAACGATAACAATCTATTTATTGAAACTCTTTTATCTTAAATGCTCCTGCTTCTTTGCTGAAAACAGTGTATTATTGTTAAAAGGTTCTGACCTGCTCTTCAATTATCTGAATGCATCTACAGCCTAAAGCAAATATTTACCTTATGTCCACACTTAAAAAAACAAAAAAACAAAAAAACAACAAAAAAAAACAACCTAAGAAACAGCTAAAACAATTCACGCAGGGCCTTACCGAAAAGAAGGAGGTATAGTTTGCACTGAAAGACCCCAAGTGTGTCACCGAAGGGCTCCATGAAAGCATCCTGTCCCATGCATGCAGTGACCTGTTCTCGGTGGTAACTTGGACCAGCAGCTGCTGGTTTATTTGCTAGGGAAATTAGCAATGAGGTAACAGACCCTATCTTGCCTCTTGCTTCTGTGATTTGAATACAGAATGAATGTGTATACAAAGGACACAGGGAGTGGGAACACCTGTTATGTGCTTTGCAAGAATACAGGCTTATGGCTTTCAGAAGAGTTTCTTAGCAACTACCAGTAATTGTCTATATATTTCATAAATTATACTTAGTTATTAAAAATCACATGAAGGAAAACATCCTTTTAAGTGACTTTACTGAAAAATGGCATGTTTTCATAATGAAAGAATATTGTGAGATTTCCTTAAAAACAAAAGCTGGTTTTCTATCATGCAAAACTATGCCATTATTATTTAAAAATTAAAAAAAATAAGAAAATAGAAGTAGCTCATGTATCTGCTAAACAGTCATAAATCTTCGTGAAGTCACCAACATGTAAAAATTCTACCGACGAATCAAAAGAGAGCTCCACCATATATTCAAAACATATTTTTTCTATGCAGTGTTTCCTATTACAGTGACTGATTTCATTGAATCTTTGAATTCATCTTAGTTTTAAAAGCAAATCACAGGTGTGTTTCCGAGTGGGGCTGAGGCATGGACCATGCATAATTATAATGAAAAGCCCACGTCAAGAGATAGTGTCTGAGGCAACATTCTCACAGCAGACGCATAGAGGAAGTGAACCAATGATCTAGAAAAGATCTTACCTCTACTGTAATGTCCACATTACAGTTTCTCAACCTGGTCTCTTCATTGTCATGGCAGCAGATAGTCTGAGCATGTCTGCTTAATTTACGAAGTTATTAGTTAACCCCTATTTGTAAGAAGGCTCTGGGTCTAGCTTTGCTATATAAAATGTTAATTATATATCCAAATCTGCATCAAATCATCAAATCAAGTAAAATTCCTTGCATACATCAGTTTTAACAGTAAAGGCCCACTGAAGAAGTTCAATGACAAGAGGGGAAGGAAGAATATATCTCAAGCATAATTAAAGTGAAAAAGGAATGATAGTAATTTTGGAATGCAAGTTTGGAAACCCTCTTTGCATTAAGGCTCTGAACTCTTCTAGAAGGACTTCTATAAGCCAAGAAAATAGGTGACTATTGGGAAAACTAAGTCCTCTTCAGAGATCAGTCACTTTCAGATCCCTCCATGCTTCAGAAAAATGGCAAGAGCTCCTCACACTTCCACCACCTCCCTGCAAAATAACAACAATGCCACAACTTGCTCTGTGTTATCTCTAAATCTGGTACATACATCTATTGCAGCACTTATCTCCTTAATCTTAATTTATTTTATTGGATGTTTATTTTCCCTCTGAGCTCTAGAATACAGAGAATAATCTTATTCATTCATGGATCTTGGGCACGTAGCATAATGCTTAACTAGTATTTTTGTTAAGTTGCTCCTCCAGAAAACAAAACTCTAAGTGCTCCTTGGTCCCTGTCTTATGATTCTCAGTTGATGCGTAAGATATACAAATAAATTTGAATATTGGATTGCACAAAATACAATCTGGAAAGTAATAGGGAAGTTCTACAGATATCACATAGGCTCCCCCAACATCTTTTAGATTGATATTAATCTCCAATTGCCTTTATTAAATTAGCTCTTTCCCGTGTTTTTAAATCTAGTGCTGGATTATAACAAAGTTTGTTGGGTCCTTGGCAAAAACAGAAATAAAGACAAGGTACTGTGTTTTTTCCTTAGTGTTAAACATACTCATTATAAAGGAGTTTTTTATTCTGAGATTTTCTTTGTTGTATTTGAAAATATTCTCTCTTTCATGACATAAAGTGATAGTAGATGCTACATTAACAAATAAATGCCAATATGAAGCTTACTTGTAATCTTTTTATTTCATGGCACACATTGAAATATACGGCACATCTAGGGAAAGGGCTACTGGGATAATCATGACAAAGCGCCCTCTAGTGGTAAACTGTAGATATAAACTCATACCTGCTGGAGTCGCTTCTGATTTCAACATGTTTATACAGGAAGTGAGAAAAAGAGTGCTCAAGCTTAACTTCAACTGTTGTTAATTTTTACATGAGTCTTAAAAATAGTTTGAAGTGTTTTATAATTATAAGATTTTCCTACCATCCATATCTCACATCACACATGTAACCCACTGGGAAGTTCTGCTGTATCATTCCAGTCAGGAAAAAAGGTCTTGTAGTGTTACTGTTTACCAATCTTAGTTATATTTGCATTTAAAATAAGAAGGCTGATTAACCTAAAGCAATCTATATTCATGGTGATTAAACTGCAAGCAATGCAAGGAGCCACTGGGATAGAGTGTGCGTGTTTGTGTGTGTGTGCACGCACACATGCATTTGCAATGGGATATGGACACATATACACCTGTGCAGGTGTGTGTGTGTGTGTGTGTGTGTGTGTGTTGGAGGCAGGGCTTTTTATTACCTCTCAAATCACACTACACAGTTTACAGTCTAGTTTATTTAAATTGTAGACTGGTAATACTTCATACAGTAAATGTCTGCTGCATAAATTTCAAACATCCACATTTTTAATCACAAGTAGCAAGCATGTGCATGTTTTGCAGTGGCAGAAACAATTAAGAAGGAGAGGTGGTGAAATGCCAAGGTCAATGTAGATGTAGAACAGTGGGGAATAAGAACTGGGGAGAGAAAATGTTTCTTATTGTTGTAATTAGTAGATTCTCTCCAGTTTACAGGGAGAGTTAGCTGCCAGAGGAGGCTATCACATATGCCTATGCCTGTGCTAGTGTTCACTTCTGTAAAGTCCACAAAGCTACCTCACGGAAGCCTTTATCTATCTTATATGGCTGCTAAATACTATGCAGTACTGTCTTTCTTCCTGGGCACCTCTTTAGGTCACTACTTTACCTTTGACAAGTGATCTGTTTTCTGTTATGGCCTGCTCAAGAAATGTAGTCATATCATCTTGGAGGGGCTGCATCTCTCCACTGCTTTGGTATTTGTGCAGTGGTAAGTAACTTTATCTTTCTAATCAAACCAGGATCTCAGCTTTTATTTAAGCTTCCAGATATTCCTCCTGTTTGGGCCATTAGAAATATGCCCTTATCCTACTTTACTACTAATCCTATTGCCCTGAATCAGATTAATTTACTTAACTCTCGGCTCTGATGTTCCAGTATGCAAAAATGGGGTTAGCACTTCTCTACCAAGGAATTGGTATCCAGCAAACCTTCCCTCAAGATTTGTTGGCAGACCATCTAAACTTTCCATTACTTTGCACTCGCCGATCACTAAAAACAGCTCTCAGGTAAATATGAAAATCCTGAATAAATCTTTCAAATAAATACCTTTATGAAAATTGGAAAGGAAATAGCATGCCAAACCTTTTACAAAGTGTTTTTTAGGATGCCAAGTTTTTTGTTTTTTGAGCGTAGACAGGTAGAAATGAATAATGTAAGATTCAATTATTTCATATAGTGTTAAGGTATGCTGAATTTGGAAATATAGTTTACTTAGACACCAGTGCTGACTTACTTTACAAACTTTCAATATTATAGTTACAGCCTTCAAACTTTTAGAAGACTGTAACCATCTTTATCCATTTCTTCAGTTTATAGGAAATAAAATAAAATGTAGAGTTTTGGAGTAAAACAAAGTTTTAATACTTTCTTGCTTTTTCGGTGTCAAATAGATAGGGATAACACTCATTTTTTCTGAATTTGGCCAATAGAAATACACACATTAGATTAAAAAAAAACTTTTTTGGGGGATCATCTTTAACTTTGTGTATCTGAGTGTGTGAGGGAGAAAATTCTGGGGTTGAATCTGGGTTCTAGTCCTAGATCAAGCTCTCATGAAATATGTGGCCTTGAACCCTTATATAGATACGTTTTCTCATCTTTACAGCATGGATTTGACATGCTAGAGCTGGACTGCTTTTAAGAATCACGGAAGATTTTAAACACACAAACATCCCCAAATAAAATAACAATAATAACAGCACACACCTCAGGTGAATCTGAACAGTCAGGTTTGAGAACTACTGAACTTGGATCACCCCTCAGATACGCTTTTAAACTAAATTGTGAACTCCTTATGACCACAATCATACATTATCAATCTAAAGTGCTTACTATAGTGTTGCCTTGAGCTCAATAATCAAGAAATGTTTATTGACTTGGGTTTTATTTTTATATGCTAATATGGCTGGCAGTTTTTGTTTCTTTTGATGCTTTCAGGGACTTCTAAATATTGAAGATTTTCACATAGAAATAACAGTCTGACAACTAAGATTAGAGAAGGTAAAGAATAAACTAAACTAGACTTGCCCTAAATGTGACCAGAATTTCTTTAAGGGGTTAGAAATAACAAAGTCAGAGAAGCATATAGGCAAACATAATTTCAAAGGAATTGCTGAATGCAGTGATGCAAGAATGCACAAGGTGGGGCCTATCATGGGGAGGGGGGAGTGGGGAGGGATTGCATTGGGAGTTATACCTGATGTAAATGACGAGTTGATGGGTGCAGCACAGCAACATGGCACAAGTATACATATGTAACAAACCTGCACGTTATGCACATGTACCCTAGAACTTAAAGTATAATAGTAACAATAAAAAGAAAAAGAAAAAAAAAAAAGAATGCACAAGATGTTTCTGTTGGAGTGGAGAACCGGGCAGAATCAAACTATACCTCATAATTGTATAGTGCTTTACAATTTATACATTTCATTCACCTACATCATCTCATTTATCTTTACAAAGCCCTATATAAAATATTGCAACCTCATTTGTAAAAATTAATAAAACAAGGCTCTAAGGGGTGAGAAAATAGAATTTCAGAATCAGAAATAACCTCTGTTAGTGTCCCCCAAACTTCGGTCATTTGCAAATCACCTTTATTAGTTTTGCCATATCTGACTACCACCCATACTATTGTTTACCCAGTATTTTTTATTAGGTTGACATACTAATTTTTTTTATTCTAAGAAATATTTTTGAAATTATAGGTTTATAAAAGTTTAACTTTTAAAAAGTTAGCATTACAATAAAATAAACTTAAAAAAATTGGTGCCATGCTTTAAAACTTTCTTCAGCACAATACATGAAAATCTTAACACACCTGATGACCAATCCTTCAGTTTCTGCTTGCACATCTTTAGTAATCCTAGGCAAGTTCCTTAATTTCGCCATACCTGCTTCGTCATCTTTAAAATGGGAACCCACAGGATTCTTGTGTGGATAAATAAAGCCATATATTTAAAGCTATTAGCAGTTTCTGACAGGTACTCAGCTTTCGATAAGTGTTAGCTATTATTGTTAGCTTTAGGGCCGCTTTCTTTTTCTTCTTCTTCTAATATTCTCATAATTGTAAAGTCCTTTTAAAACTGTGTCCCCAAAGACACCCCTGTTCCTTTCCCCAATTTAACTAAACTGCCAAAAGTTGAAAAGAGGACTTTAAAGTGACACGTATACTCATTATTGTTGTCGTATTTCCCGTCATCACTTGCCTTAGAGTACAGAGGTAAAATAATAGGCGGGCGTCAAAATCCCTCGATTTTAGAGCTTTTGCAGGGGATGCCAAGACTGAGGTAGAACAGCCCTAACCCTGGCGGGCCGCCCATTGGGCAATCTAGAGCACACCTTTCCTCAGCCCAAACCCAGCGCGCCCGGGGTAGTCTCGAGTTCTCAGGTCACCTCTCAGTGACAGCCCTTTCTTGAGTTCCTTCTCCTTTGCGTCAGTCTCTCGTTCCCTCACCCCGCCCCTGTATACCAGGTGAGGTTTCCTCCCTCACACTCCTAGGGGGCATCGCGTCAGTCTGGCTTATATATTGTCTCCTCTGAGTTTGATCTTTCGCTCAACTCCTAGTCACCTATAACTTAGGTTTCCGTCTCCCCAAAGAGTAGCTACCACCTAGTGCAAGCACTTTCCGTAAGACCGGCGATCGCAGTGGTCGCTCTGAGCAGTAAGATTTACCCGCTTAACTGGCGCACCCGCTCCTTTGTTTGCTGGGAGATGTAGTCCCTGGACTGGCCGCTTTAGTTCATTGTTACTACCGCCGGCGGCCAGAAGACTACAGTTCCCAGCATACCCAGGGCAAGACAGGATGACCTGGGTCGGCGCCTCCACGTGACCATCCACTATGGCTTCCCTGTGTCAGGGCCAGCTGTGTAGTGGCTTGGTGTGATTTGTTAGCTATTCGAGGCAGGGTACCCTCCTCAGGACTGAGACATGCAAAAAATTAAATCTCTCATGACCCGACAGGTAAGTCGCGGTGGCTGAAGCAAAGGCTTCCTTCATCTCGGAAGTGAGAGGAGCCGAGATGTTCTGTCCCTAACCAGTGGCGGGCGGAGACCTAAGTTATGGGTGGTGGCAGGTGTCAGGGGGACTGGGAAGCCGGGGCACACCCTGGAAAACTCACCTGGGCCGCCTGGATTGGAGCCCTGCTCCAGCAGGCACCCGCCTCCCAGAATCATTCGCATAAAAAGAAATCATTGAAGGAATCAGGATATCTTTGTCTCCCTTCCTCCTCTTTTTGCCATCTTTCCAGAACAGCCCCAGCTTCCTTGCAAGGTCTTCCGCATCCAGGTTGTCTGTCATATGTGAGCTGATAGCCTGGGTAGGGTGGTGTGGTCTGTGCAGTAGAGGTGACCTGGAAAGAGTGGAAACGGATGATTTGAAGACAGCATTTGTAGCTTTTGGATTTTGGGCAAGTCCCCAAACTTTGTAGCTTACTTGTCTGGATGTGAAAATAATTATTTTTGTTCATTTTATTTCACAGTTCTGTTATGAGGGTCATCAATAAGCTAATATATGTGAAAACTCTTTGTGAAATTCTACTTTAAAAAATTTATTTTTGTCATGGCAAAATACTGATCTTTTCTTTTTTTCCCAGAATGAAAATTCATGAATAAGAGCCTTGGCTATTTTGTAATCTGTCTCATAAATGTTAGGGACCTTGTAATAATGCCTCAGCTTCGTTTAAGAAGTGCAGAAATTTTCTTTTATGTACTTATTGATTATGACTTTATTTTAGCTACCTTTATTTACTTCAACTTTAATATTTCACTAGAATTGGTCATTTTATTATTTTAATATATTTAATATAAAAGATAATTAAGATTAGAGTTTTAAATCAACATGGCTTTTACAAATTGTATATTTCTCTTGCATAATACACAAATGACCCTTACATGATTATTTTAGTAATGTCAGATTATTTTGTTAATGGTATGAAAATATATATCAAAATGTTCTGTGAATCATAAAAATATTTAAATAAGTGGCTAGTAACATTTATCAGTTCCTCACGTGTGGAGTACTGGTATTATGCATCCTGCTACGTCTTACTTGACAGTGAGTTTGGGTCCTGCTGTAGCCTGTGGTAGCTGTGTGACTTTCGGCAAGTTACAAAACGTTTTTAAGCATCTGTTTCCACATCTTCAAAATAGGAATAATGTGTACCTTACATCTTTAAAATAGGAATAATGTGTACCTTATGGAGTTAGCCTGATAGTGGTATTTATATGATACAATGAAGTTAAAGAGATTAAGGTGTTAACAGAGTTCCTGAGCATTATCAAGGAAGTGCTTGAACATGGAGACCGTTAGTTACATTGGCTACATTGATGGTGGGAAAGCAGGAAAACTGGAAGCAGGCTGTTGCAGTAATTCAAGCAATGGATAAGTTCATGCTGACTTTGGTACCTGTTTGATTTTTAAATCAATATATACTTTTGTATATTATACCACTAATACCTCTGAACTGCCTTTGGGAGGCTGAATTTGGACTTTTGTGTACCAGCTAAGTTTGATGCTCTCTCAAGTTTGTTGCCTGCTATACAGTTCAATGTAGTTAACATTGTCGTAATTGTATGGTAGCTGTGGTTGGTTTAGGTTTTTTGACCTCATTTTGTAAAACTGAGGAGAGAAAAAAATTTCAGATAGGAGTGATAAGTGTATGTCTCCTAAATGTAATGCAATTTGCTGAAAATGGTAACACTTAAGCCTTAGTTGTTTATTGAATTTCAGCACGTCAAACCTGTGTTTAATTGGAATGGAAAAAAATACATTAAAGAACACATACAAAAAGCTGGAACCATACTGTGTACAAAGTGAGGTAAAATTAGCAGTTTTGCACACATATTTAAAGTTACCCTAATTATATATGTTATGGCTTGACTTTCACATATTTGATACTGATGCACAGTTCCTGAATCCATGAGGTATGAAATTAGTGTGCCTCCTATTTACATCGAGGGTTTGAATTAGTACAGTTTGATATTGGGTTAAATTTAATAGGATTACAAATAAGTATACATGGAAGTATTTCTTTTTTTGAACCTGTAGAATGTGCTAATAATATATATTGAGTTAATGTGGAGAGATGGAAATTAAGGTCTGTGAAATTTAAGTTTTTGGGCATTTCAGCTGTCCTGGAAACTTTGTTTGCAAAATAATGGGAGGAAGGGAGGCTTTGTTAGCCCTCTTTATTTAAATGAGATCTGTTCTTCATCTTTCTCCATTATGCCGGCCTCTGTTCTTTCAGTCCATTCAACAAATGTTTATTGAGCACTTTGTGCCAGGCACTATTGTAAGTAAAAAAAATAGACAAGTGTTAAGGCAGACATGGTGATAAACACTGTAGAGGAAAAGAGGATAGAAAGTCCTGGGAATTGTTGGCGATTTGAGGTCACTTATAATTTTAGATAGGATGGTCATGGAAGGCCTCGCAGAGAAGGTAATATGAAAAGACCCGAAGGGAGTGAGGAGGTGAACTCTATGATGTGGATATTTGGGAAGGAGCATTTCCGATGGAAGGAAAGGCAAATGCAGAGGCCCTGAGGCAGGAGCTTGTTTGAGAAATTGCAAGTGGCCAGTGTGGGTGAAGTGAGTGAGGAGAAGAGTAGTGGGAGATGAGGTCAGGATAAGGTTAGATGACTGAGGGCAGGAAGCTAGATCATATAGTACCTTATAGGTACCTTATAGGTAATAGCAAGATCATGGCTTTCATTCTGAGTGAAATGGCAAATAGAGGAATGATATAATCAGACATAACACTTCAGACAGACTGTTCTGACCCATGTTTTAAGAATAGATTGAAGAGGGGAAAAGAGCAAAACCAGGGAGACCAATGATGAGGCTACTATGGTAATCCAGGTGAGAGGGTGGGTGTAGGCCTTCTACCCTAGTGGTAGAAGTGTTCAAAGAGGTCAGATTGTGAATATGCTGTAAATGTAGAGTTGACAGAATTTCCTGACAGATGGGGTTTGGGCTGTGAGGGAAAGAGAAGCATTAAGGATGACTCAAAATAGTTTGGCCCCAGCAATTGGAAGAATGTAATTGTGATTTCTTCGTATGGATAAAACTGAGGGAGGAACAGATTGAGGGAAGGGACATGGTTCTTGTACTTGTTAATTTGACCGCCTCTTAAATATTCAACTGGAGAGATACAGTAGGCAGTTGGCCAGATGAATCTGAATTTATGGCGCGAATCCAGGGTATAGCTAAAACTCTGGGAGTTACAAACATGTAGATTGCATATAAACTGGTTAAGACCACAGTGGAATGAGTGTAGATATACAAAGAATCTAAGGTTGGAGCTTTTGAGAATCCAGTGTTAAAAATTCAGGGGGAAGCAGTGGATCCAGGAAGGCAGAATGAGAACATGTAGCTCGTGAAGTAAGAAGTCTTTAGCTTCCTGAATGGCACCTGGAATATAGCAGATGCTCAGTAAATATTTGTTGCATGAATGTGGGATAAAGAGAACAACCAAGAAGAGTGCCTTGAAGCCAAGTATAGAATTGAAAAGAGTAAGGAGTGATTAGCTGTGTTAAATGCTGAAGATTGGTCAAGTAAGGTGAGAGTGAGAATGAGAAATGTGCTTTTGGATTGAGCAGCATAGAGGTCCTTGGTGCCCCAACTACGGCAGTTTTCATCAAGTTGTGGGGAGGAAAGCCTGATGAGAATGGATTCAGGAGAAAATAGGGGGAGAGAAATTAGGGACTGGGTGTAAACACTCTTGAGTTTTGCTGAAAGAGAAGGAAACACAAATCATCACAGATGCTTCTTTGGATGGATAAGACATAGTTGCTGGTTTCATAAATGGAAAATGAGGATTAATGTAGACATAACTGAAGTAGTCTGAAATGTTAATCTGATTTGGGTAAACGAAATGCAGAGGTAAGTGTTAATTTATGATGAATTTTCTATATGTCTGAACTGGGGAATTATCAACACAAAAATCAAATACAAAAGAAAATCAAATAGTGGTAAATGATTAGCATCAAAGTTTTAACTTAATAAAGGGAGAGAACTGCAGTTAAAACCATGACTTCATGCTTTAGAGAGATGAAGATAAAATAAGAATGACTTCACTTGTTAGTAGTAATTTATAAAATTGATAAAGTTAAAGATCTAAAGTACAGTTGAATGTCAGATGTGCTTTGAGACATTTATGTAATTCTTCATTTCTGTTTTGATAAAAGGAAAACATTTCTGTCATAAAATATTAAGAATTAGGGTTAATCATCACAGAGTGCTTGAGATATATGAGACAGTATTTTTGGCTTCTCATATACATTACCTCTTTTACTTCTTATAATAGCCTATGAATGATTGTAGAATATAATGCACAAAAAGGATAGATAAGTTGTTCAAAACCGCAGCAAGAAAGTCAGGATACAAACTCAAGTGGTTTGCTTCGGAGCCCATTACAATAATCACTTCACTCTACATCCTCCTAACATGTACACGGATTTTCAATTTGTATTACTTTTATTTTGTACATGTGGCAGAAATTTGCCATGTATTGGTATTGAATTGTTACGTGGTGACTACTTTTTCTAGATATTGGTATATAGCACATTTACATTGCATTGGTTTCTTTACAGAGTAGCGCTGGGGAAAGAGAAATTAAATATGATATATTTCTTCAGGGATTTCTGTTAGATTAGTTAAGCAAATCTATAAAGATGGTCCCCGATTTACTATGGTTTCACTTAATGAATTTTTGAGTTTATGATGATTTTATTGAGATTATTAAATGTATTTTCCACTTATGATGCGTTTAAAAAATTTTTTTATTTTAAGTTCAAGGGTACCTATGCAAGTTTGTTATATGGGTAAACTCGTGTCACAGGGGTTTGTTGTACAGATTATTTTTTCACCCAAGTATTAAGCCTAGTACCCATTAGTTATTTTCCTGATCGTCTCTCTCCCCCCACCCTCCACCCTCAGGCAGTCTCAGTGTCTGTTTTCTTCTGTATATTTCCATATGTTCTTGTATGATGGGTTTATTGGAACATAACCCAATTTGTAAGTCGAGGAGCATGTGTACTTTGAAAAATGTTTGTTTAAAAGACATGTCAATTACATTTTAAAAATATATTTTAGGGGTGGTCATGATTTGGAATCAAATTGGGGAGTTTTACTTTCATATGTGTATATATAATGTATATAGAAGTATAGTTTGGTAGCTCAGCCTTGCCTTCTTTACCACTTTTGATGCTATTCTCTCATGACTGTTGGTAAGAATTCAAGACAGGGAAGAACAAACTGCCCAAGACTAGTAACATACTTTTTCTCCTTCACTCATTGAAAGGCATATTAAACCTCATTAGGCCTTTCTTTTTCCAGCAAGTATTCCTAGCAATTTTTTTGCAATCAATTACGTGTTCCCATGGGAACAATGTGCTAATTTTCCCTGACCAATGTCTTCTACCTAATAATTTACTCATTTCTTTGTTGTTTACTCTGTTTCTGGAACTTTGCTAGCCACTGGGCTACAGAGGCAAATAGGACTTTGTCTCTCCCTTTCCTTAGGGCTTAAAGTTTGGAAGAGAAAGATACATTTAAAATTTAAAACTTTACTACTTTGGCTGAGGTATTGTCTTGAAAGATGTCTTGCTGAGGTATTGTTTTGGAAAATGCACATTCCTGGTCCAAATCCAGAGAAACCTATTCATTAGGTTTATTTTAGGGCCTATGAATCTTACTGTTAATGAGTTCCCTGGGTGATGTTGATGGTCATGATCCAAGGGTTATACTGAGAAATACTGTGTTCTTTGAAGCTTAGGGATTTAGGAAGACTTTGTGGAGGAGATAATTCTGAAAGTGGTGTATTGCTTTCTCATTTCTTGGAGTGGTAAGTGTGTCTGAGAGAGGGAGAAGGGGAGAGAAGAGTGGGTGGGCTAGATATTCTGGGGGTAATGAAAGACTTGGGGTTGAGGCAGAGCACTTTGTAATACAAAATTGTAGATATGACTAGTGGTATTTTACAACAGGGAAGAGAAAACACACATCTCTATAGTTTAAAGATAAGCAAGCTCTGCTCTAAGTCTCAAGTAGTCAACATAAGCATAGCATGTATTTTGGTTACTAAGGACCTTCAATATAGGGCACCTAAAGGACAATTTGTATCATAAATCTCTCCTCAAATTAATAATAGCTAATTTTGCCTAAAAACTAATATTGCAGGGACATTAAATGTCTGCTTTGAGTAGTCTATTTTTAAAAAGAGGATTTTAAAGAAAATGCAAATTGCTGATTTCTTTCTATTTTAATAGTTTCCCCAGTACAGATAAAGCTTTCAGAATCCTTCAGTTGATGTGAATATAGAAAGTACAGGGCACCAAAGAACTAAAGGACAGGTAGAAGACAGTGAGATATGAGACTTCAATCTTAATTTATGCAGCATGAATTAGATATATTGGTGGGAAATAATCAAGTAAAATGAAGGGATTACTTATATGTTAGCTTAGTTGGTTAGTATATTGTATCTGTAAATCATAATACTATTGCTTGGACTTTTTTCCTGATTGATTTAGTAATTATTATTGTATATACAAGCGCTTATATAGAATGCTTTTTGTTACATAAGTTTCTTTTGGCTGTTTTTCAATCATAGGTGACTTAGACTTCCACCATTAGTTGTAAAGTTGTATAATACTCTTTTATTTTAAAATACCAGAAGTACATCATTCTCTGATTTAATTATAGTACTATATGTATTAAATGATGATTGCTTTTAGAATGTGTGTTCCATATTTTGAAGCAGGAAAATTTCTATTTTTAAAGTGGTCATTTCTGTTTCAGTAGGTGTATTCTATCCTTTTATAATTCTTCAGCACTATTAAAATTTTCCTTATCTTATTATTTTTTTAAGGGTCTGAAAAGCCCTCAAGAAAGCCTCAGTGATCTTGGTGCCATAGAGAGTCTCCGGGTCCCTGGAAAGGTATTGATCTACACGCATGAGCGTGACTTTTTATTTCCTTAAGAAAATATGGTTGCCTCTGGATAATGATAATTGATTCACAGAAGCTTTTCTTTCCCACAGGCAGATGGTTGTTAAGATAAGCTAGGTAAATTTTTATTGTACAGTAGGTGTAGGGCTTGTTTCATTACACATTGGGATGCAGTATGTATGATTCATTATAGCAAAGCAAAAAATGCAAACTTGACAAATTTGGAATTTATTATATTAAATTCTTAGCCTGAAAGCAGTTATATATGTGTGTATACACACACACCCAGACACACGCACACACACACTCTTATTGATTTATCTGCTGTAATTTGTAGAAATAAAATGAAATAATTGACTACTGACTTTTTATACTCTTAACACTGTGCCAAAAATCATGATTATATTTTTGTTGTGGAGCAGAGGTTTTTCAATAAACATCTAAACCATAGTGTTTATACTGAATTGTGTAACTTATCTCCTAGATTGTAGGAATTTTAGATTTTAATTGTCTGATATTCATGTGAATTTCTCAGTTTACAAATTTTATATAGGTTATTTGAAAGCTAGCTGGATTCCCCTCAGAATTATTAAGTATTGTTAAATCCCTGCTGTTTTTCTGGAGTGTTGCTGCTTGGAGCTGCCCATGTGAATAGCTGCTCCATCACAGATTAAGTTGGCATTTCTGAATGTCTGTTTTTGTATTTTTTTTAATTTGAGAGGGACACGTGAAAATACTGTTTGTTTTCTGCATCAGGCATTTGAATACACAGGGCGTGCTTCTCTTGATCAGCAGTTTAAGGCCTCTCTTTACACCTCAGTGTCAGCTCCTTAGGAGGATGATTTCTCATCTCTTTCAGGTGCCTTGCCTGCTAAAGTGAATTTTGTACTTACCGTATTGCTTTTATTTTGGGTTAGACCCAAACATATTCTCCAAATGCAGTAAAATTATAACCAACTCTTTTGCATGAAATGGTTCAGACAAAAACTTAAAAAAAGCATTCCATATAGTTTTATATAATGTTATTAAAAATTATTGACTATGAAAAGGTTGGGAAATAAGAGATAGCTATAAATCCTAATTGACAATAATTCTCTTTATTTCTTTGACTTAAGAAAAAGATGATCGTGCATTATGAACATACCTTGAATTCGATTGTATTACATATTGCAGAATCAATGTTAAATTGATGAGTGAGCCTCTTTAAAAAAATACGTGACTGTCTTAATAAGAACTTTCTGTTGCGTTTCCACCATGAGCCATGATGTTTTCCCAGTAGTGGTTGGTAGTGAATTTATGGTGATCTCATTACACAGTCTTCTTATTGACTCTATACCCCCAGCTCCATCAGTGACCAGTGCTGTCTCTACTTTTAGGATAACTGGCCTTGGGTAGAGTGGCTAGTCTGGGATCACAAGGTCAGCAAATATAAATCATTCAGGTGAAGAGTAAGCCTAAAGCACTGGTCTCTTTAGCACATACTAAGAAGCTAAGTTAGTTAAATAATAAAACAGTTAATAGTAAAAAAGGTATTGATGCTGTAAGCTTACATTTAACCTTACACTAAGAAATCCCTACAAGCTTCATCTGCCTGTTTGTTTTTTTCTTTGTTCTCCTATAGCATAACAAATGATGGAGGGTGAACAGAGCTGCTGCCTTCTTTCTGGGTAGTTCTGAGAACATAAGAGTGCTGGGTCCAGAGAGTGGCAAAGCTCCAGTCAGTAAACTGAGTCTTTGGATAAGGTTTGAAGTCAGTACTGACATCAAGAGTTAAGAAGACTCATATTCAGAAATTCCCTATACAGCATAGCTTGATGTAACTTTAATGTCGAGTATTTTTCACAGTTTAGATATGACTTTGTACTTAGATCATACACATATATTTTAATGATTTATTTTTATGTAATTGCTTTAAAATTAATGTTGCTGCTAGTTCTTGATGTCATTGAAAAAGATCTTTACTTAAGATCTTTTAAAATTAAGATTAAAAGCATTTTAACAAAATGGAAAATGTTAATTCAAATGATTATTTTAAAATAACCTTTGCTTTAAATATAAAATTAATGTATACTCTAAACAGAAAACATGATAAACAGAAAAAGGTATCTAAACAAAAAAAAAAATCACAAAAATCACCAACACTGTCAAGGTTAACGTTGCCTACTGGTCTTTTCCCTATGCATATTCAACAAATTTATTGAGTTTCTATGTGCTAGAGATACTTCTTAGGGATTAGCAGTATAGCAGTGAAAAGACAAGAGTTCTCTCCAAAAGCCAAAACTTCCCTGTTGTCAGAGAGCTTACTTACATTCAAGCCAGGGGTAAGATTACAAATTAGAATACTGTGAAGGAAACAGGGCGATGAGATAAACTCTTTGAAATTGGCAGTTATTTTACAGGAAGTAGTCAGTATAGCTTTTCCACCCTCCCTCCCCAACCTTTTTAAAATGGTATTATACTCTAGAAATTATTTGGAAGCTTAGGTTTTTAATTTAGTTATATATATATGTTACATAGAAAATTCTCACAGTATATTCTAGGTTTAAAAAGCAAGGTACCCATTAGTTTTGCTTAGGGGAGTACTCTTTGAACTTAACAATGTGTGCTATTTAAGTAGTCACTATAAATTTTTATATGGAAAACTTATAAACATTAACTTCATTCAATAGGTCTGCCTCACTCATAAGTGTAAGTACAACTTTTAAAAAACATTTCCCTGGTCTTCAGGAATGGTCTCCTTTCTTTTCATAATGTCTTTCTAAGTTGGGACAGAGGATTGATATTTCAGTGGCATTTTCAAGAAAGAAATAGGTTAGTTTGAGTTCTGTTACATGAAAAGGTTCTAGTATAAAGGATAAGTAGGAGAAAAATATTAGGATAAATCATGGCTGTTTAAGTTTAAAATGGTCAAGTATTGGCAAATTTTATGTGCTCCAACTTGCTAGAAAAAGGAGGGTAGTGAAGGAGAATTGAAGGTCACTAGAGGTGCCTGATAAGCCAGATGGTATTATTTATTTATTTATTTTAGAACTATATAAATTCAAAGTGGGAAGAAACTATAGAAACTATCTGGTACAATTTCTGCCTTTTATAGACAATCTGATCCTGTGCCCCATTTTTAAGAGCAGATGCAAGTCAAATAGTAATCTGTATACTGGAAATTTGGAATTTGGGTGGATAAAATGGTATAGAAAAGTAGAAAATATTTAAGGTTCTTTTCTGAACTTGCTAGAGGAAGGGAAACTTTTAGACAGATTTCAGGAATTTTAGCTTAAGTAGCTCAGTGCCAAGATCAGTGGTGCCTAAACTTTGCTGTACATTTAGAATCAACAGTCCCCAGGCCATGGCCAATTCCAATTAAATTACCATTTTTGGGTGGAGGCAAGTGTCAGTAATATTTAGAGATTCCCTGGTAATTCCAGTGTGGAGCCAGGTTTGTGAACCATTGGCCAAGATGAGAATATTATCTTAACAATGGAGCAATAGGAAATAGAGGAACTGTTCTAAAAAATAGTTTGAAAGTTTTACTGAGAACTTTTGTAGGATAAGATAGAATGACCTAAAATTTCATTCTTCGAAATAGATTCTGTTATATTTCAAATTAGTGGGATTTTCATGCAGAGGTAAAGATATAAGAAATTAGGTAGCATTTTCTAAGCTTGTTATCCATTTAAACATGAAATGTATTTTACTTAATTGGTTACAAGAATTAAGAATAAAACTAGTATTTATTATAGTATATGATAGTAGTCAGAGCCAAAATGTTCTTAGTTATAGAACTTAGTAGGACTGTGTTTGAGAGTATTTGTTGAACCCAGATTAAAAAGTAAAAATACCAGTATTCAGAACCTTATAAATCTACATCCAGCCTTTATTAGTAAACACTTTCTATAGTACTTTCACAGTGGCACAATATGAACCTGAAAAAGAGTATTGATACTAATATTGTTTTATGAATTTTTACTGAAACATTGCCTCCTCATAGTATTCTTTAATGATAAGACTTTTCTTGTCCTCAATTTAATTAACTCATAAATAGTAATGGGATTCAACTGTCTTTACTATTACATGATTGGTTTACCTTTGATTTTTTTCATGAAAGAAAAATATAGGATGAAGTGACAAAATAAATGTCTGTTGCAGTCAACATTTGAGAATATATTTGTTTAAATATTTTATACTTCATCCATTCGACAAGTATTTATTGAGTACCCGCCTACTCTGAAGCATTTCTGCTTGTATACATTCTAGGAATTTGAGCAGAATGTTTTCTAGAGTTTCTAGTACTTCTGTGAAATCAGATAAACCGATTTGACTTGACTTCTTAAAATCCATTAAAAGAATCCTAAAACCACATGCTAACTGCAGAGCTTGGTTTACAGTTTTACCAAAATTCGTGGAAAGTGTGCTTGAATCACAGTCAAGAGACATAGGTTCAAGTATTGACTTAAACAGTCAGCTTGTTGAAAGGAAGTCATTTTAATGCTTTGTGCCTCAGTTTCTTCATTTGTGAAAAGATGCTATTGAACTAGATGACTTTTTTAGAGTACTTGTAGCTCGAATGTTTTATAGTTTCTATATTGTAATTTTTGTAGGGGAAATATGATAGGAGAAATATACATTCTAAAGAATTTTTTGAGCAGTTTTTGTTAGAAGATTTGCATATTGGTGTCTATATCAGAGAGGATTAGTATTGAGGTTTATGACTAGGAGACTTTATTTAGAGATTGTGATAAAGACTATGTATCATTTAGGACAGGTGTCTTCTGCAGGTGGTACTAAGGGAGGCTGTAACTATGGATCTGCAAAATCATATAAGAGTTTTTCTTAGGTGCTCATGGCCAATGATATTTAGTTGTGTTCCCTTGAACCATTAATGAAATTATGCTTCTCATAGCTTCAGATGCTTTGAGATTCTTAACCCTTCTTTCATAGCAATCATATAAGTTCATTCATACAGTCCATTTGGCAAACACTTATGGTACCAGGC